GATACTTTCCAGGCTATAAAAAGACTGCTTGTGCACACGCTCCTCTTGCAGAAGTCAACACAGGAACTAATGTTGGAGAACATGATTGTGAGCTTTGCAGGCTGGATTGCTACCATGGCTTAAATGTGTTGGATTGCTGCCACAGCTTATCTGTGCTGGTTTGCTGCCAAGGATCTGTCTGTCTGTTAATAAATTCCGGAAAGTATCTTTGACTCGGAGTGTGTTGGTGTGGGAAGAGAATAAAATGCAATTATCTTTGTTGGGCAGGATTTCTGTGATCAAGATGAGGTTATCTTACCATAAATGTTATTTTTTATTTCAGACACTGCCAATATTGATGACCAAGGTTCCATTTAAGCAATGGCAAAGGGACATTTATTTGGCAAGTAAAATAACCAAGATTTAAGTATAAATCATTGTAAGACACTCAAGAAAGAGATTAGGGTCTTCCAGATATAAAATTATATTTTGAGGCATGCTATTTAATTTGAACGAAATAATGGGTGACTCAAGAATAAGAGGTTATTGGATTTGGGAGGTCATGAATTGAGGTTTGGATGGTATCTATGGCTTGATAAAGATAAAATAAATGTGGATTTTGAGAGTGTTAGGCGTGACATCCATAAAATTTTAAACAAATATATTTTTTAAAAAAAAAATTCCCTGGAATACTTTTTTCAGTATCACTGTCACCACAAAAAGCATTTTTAAAGAAAGTAAATGATAGTGAGCTCCAATTAATGGATTTATGAAGAAATAATATCCTTTGTTCAAGGTGAACCCATTCTCAAATCAAAATAAAACTTTCGGGTAGAAAGTCATAGATATCTACAATTGTAAGAAAGGTTTACTTTAGGTTTTAAAAATGTGGTTTGGAAGCTGTTAAAAATAAATTCAAAATTATATTCTGTCCTAACAATGAACATCTTATAGCTAAGGTTTATAAAATGCTGTTACGTTTGAACCTAGAAGGTGGATATGCATGATTCAATGGGCAAGAAACTTATAATACAATTTTGGAGCAATGGGAAAATATATGGACTAAAGTATTGACATTTATGTTGAATTATAATCTTAAGGAGAATTTCTATAAAATGATGTGCCTGTAATATTTAATGACAGATTATCAAAGATGTATAAAGGTGTTCTAAATGTTTGCTGGAAATGTAATTGTAAGGAAGGTAATTTTTATCATAAGCTGTGGACATATGATAATGCAAAGAAATATTTCATGTTTCAATTCAAAAGATTCCAAAAATGGACTTGCAATTGAAACCAAAAAAGTTTACTTTGGGAGTATTAGACAAAGAAAAAAAATGGAATGATGTTGATGGCCACAAGAATTCTATATGACCCAAAATAGAAAAAAGCATCAACTTCCACAATGGAGGAATTGATTGAAGAAATGATGGAATTGGTGGAGATGGCAAAGTTGACTGCATTAATTATTTATTTTATTTTATATTATATTATTTATTAAGTTTATTTACCATGCTTCCAACACAAATGTGACTGAGCAGCCATGAGATAAATTGGGAAAAGAATGCAAATAGTTTTGTTTTTACTTGGAAACCACTTCAAGACTTTCTGCTTGAAAGAGAAAAACAATGGAAGTGTGAGATGATTATGTGGGTTATTGCCATAGAATGGCTAGGAGTTGCTAATTGGTACGAGTAAAAAGTTGACATTATAACTCTGTTATGTATTTTACTACACTGAAAGAAGAATGCTTTTTTGTGTCTTTCTTCCCTCACTTTACCCTCTCTGTTTTCCTCCCTCCTTTTTCCATTATCTTTATTTCTCTATCTGTATTTTGTATTAAGGAAAAAGACATTTCAATAAAAATAACAATAACAAGGAAATGTACTGGGTTTTTCCCCCACTCTTCCTTTTTGTTCTCTGCTGTGATACCATCACTGAGGCTTTGTTCTGGAGCCAGGAAGAAAAGAGGAATCTTAAGGGGATCCACTGATATAAATCAGATTTGACTGAGGTTCAGGAATCCATGCAAGTAATCTACATTCTTAATAGGCATTTTTTTTCAGGAGGATTTAGGTTTATAGGTTTATAGGTTTATTGGGATTTATATGCCGCCCTTTTCCCTGAGGGGACTCAGGGCGGCTTACAACCACAAAGGAGGGGAAGTGCAAGGTCAAAACAAACAATTAGTGAACAAAAGAAAAATAATAAAACACAACTTTCATTCAGCAATCAAACACTCGGGCGGGTGATTGGAAACCTATTCCNAGTACAGTAGAAGCCATTTTAAGGCACAACAGGCTGTATCTTAACAGAACTCTCACCCCTAGGTGAGTGCTAGGGGTGTCTTACCCCAACAGTATTTTTTTCCAGAGGGTAAGTCATCTGTGTACCAAATTTGGTTGAAATTGCTTGAGGCGTTCCAGAGTTATGGTGGAACATACACGTGCACGTGCGCGCGCACACACACACACTCTTTTATATAAAGAGATAATAAAAGTGAAATTAAATATAAATAAATAAACAAACATGACAGTCTCTTATTGCCTAGCTACAAATAGTATTTATTTGTTGTCTCTTTCTAAATTTACTGTGAAATAATATACTGAGATCAAAGTAAATTTTGTTCCCTATAACAAGATATTATTTCTCCCAATATTAGGAAATAATTGTTCTCAACGTTTATTGTCAACCTTCCCTTTATCTAAAAATACCCTTTTTTCTAAATCCAATATCAATATCAATATCAATGATATCAATGATATTAAATATGATAATGCAATTAAGTTTACTCTTAAGTAAGATTTTTAAGCAATTCTCAAAAGCTAGCTTAACATCGTCAGGATTTCTTTTAATCAAATCATTTTACTTGTCAAAAGAAAACACAATGCCCAGTAAAGCATGTAAATTCAGGTAAAATCAGTAAAAAGCAACTGACTAGCTTTGATCAGTGTTAAACTGGAAGCTGTCAACTGGCTGGATTCATTTTTAAAAAAATTTTTGGCTTGTGGAATAAGCCAGAGTGGCTTGATCCATGTATAACTCCAATCCATAAGCAATGGCTTACAAACCACAGTGGCTGGGTTCATTAATGCCTGTAGCAAGCCAAGATGAGACAAAATTACTAAAGGGTGCACTATGACATCACAATGTAAGCACTACCTTTTCATTCTGCAGTAAGATTGCAGACAAGTACAGCACTGGTGGGTTCCGGATCCCAGTGCAACCTGTTTGGTGCAATGGGGCTGGGTGCCCAGCAAATGAACGTGTGCAGCGCGCGCATGGGTACTTACCGCCCACGACACTCCGCAACACCTCCGTGACGCTCCAGCTGCTCCGTGGAGCGTCACGCAGGCGCCATATGCTCCATGCGCGTACACGGAAGCCCAGAAAACTTCAAATACCAGTAAAGAGCATGGGCGGGCGGGCCCTCTGGAGCACCATACCAGAATGATACCTGGTGCTCCTGGCAGGCACCGGTATGCCTGTACCAGAGCGTACCAGTTGTAACCCACTACTGAAGTACAGGTAGCCTTTCACTTACATCACAATTGTGCCCAACATTTCTGTTGCTAAGTGAGACAGTTACTAGGTGAGTTTTGCCCCACTTTATGACCTTTCTTGCCACAGTTGTTAAGTGAATCACTGAAATTATTAAATTAGGAACATATTTGTTAAATAAATGTGGCTTCCATGCTTGTCAGGAGGTTGCAAAAGGGGATCATGTGATCCTAGAACACTGTTTCTGTCATGAGTCAGTTGCCAAGTGTCTGAATTTTGATCATGTGACCACGGGGATGCTGCAAT